TTCGAGCTTATCTGGTTGAAGTTTCTTCACATAAGCATCGCAACCCCAAACTTTAAGAAACGACAACTTTGGTTTCTTGCCAAACCACAGTTCATAAGGCGTCGTCTCAACGGATTTTGATGCTGCCCTATTTAATGTGAATGCGGCCGTCTCTAAAGCATAACCCCAAAACGATAGCGGTAAATTAGTAAGAGACATCATAGATCGCACCATATCTGGTAATGTACGATTACAATGTTCGGACACACCATTACGCTGTGGTGTTCTGGGTGGCGTGAGTTGCGAAACTATTCTGCATTGTTTCAAATATAGACCAAACTCATAACTCAAATATTCTCCTCCACGATCAGATCGTAGAAACTTTATTTTCTTGTTACGATGATTTTCAACTTCACTCTGAAATTCTTTGAACTTTTCAAAAGTTTCAGGCTTATGTCTCATCAAGTAGATATTCCCATATCTGCTTAAATCATCTGTGAAGGTGAGAAAATAACGATATCTGCCACGAGCCTCAACATTCATTGGACCACATACATTTGTATGTATGATTTCCAACAAATCTGTTGCTCTCTCCATAGTTCTGGAGAACGGTGTTTTAGTCATCTTGCCCATGAGGCATGGTTCGCAAGTACCAAATGATTCATAATTAAGTGATTCCAGAAGTCCATCAGTATGGAGTTTCTTCATGCGCTTTACACCAATATGACCCAAACGGCAGTGCCAAAAATAAGTTGCACTATCATTATCAACTCTGCATCTTTTGGCTTCAACATTATGAATATGTGTATCACTATTATCGAGATTTAATAAAAATAGACCACTCTTCAAGGGTGCATGATCATAAAAGATATTACTCATATAAATAGAACAACCATTATTCTCTGATTTAAATGAATAACCGTCTCGCATCAAACAAGATCCAGATATAATGTTCATGCTTAACGCTGGCACCAAATAACAATTATTCAGGTCTAAAACTAATCCCAATGGTAGATGTAGAGGTAGCGTGTCGACCGGATCACATCGACTTTGGAACCATTTCCCACGCGCATCGTCACCTCGTCCTTAGCCAATCTTCGCTTAATCCGTAGTCCCTGTTTCGAGTTGCAAATATTAGCAACAGGACCAGTATCAAATACCCAGGTGCTACTGCGAGCATTAGTAATGTACACATCAATAACATGTATATCACATATACCTTTGTTCATCTTGCCATCCTTCTTATCCGCCAAATACTTGGGGCAGTTCCGCTTCCAGTGTCCAGTCTGCTTGCAGTAGAAGCACTCAGTCTCAGGCTTAGGTCCAGATTTGGGTTTCTTCTCTTGAGCAGCAACTTGCTTGATGTTCTTCTTGAAGTTCCCCTTCTTCTTCCCTTTACCTTTTTTCTTGAAACTGGTGGTCTTATTGACCATCAACACTTGATGCTCCTTCTTGATTTCTACCTCCGCAGCCTTTAGCATTGCGAAGAGCTCGGGATAGTCTTGTCCATCCCTTGCATATTATAGTTCATCACGAAGCTCTTGTAGCTTGGTGGCAATGATTGAAGAATTCTGTCAATGACACTATCATCAGGAAGATTAACTCCCAGTTGAATCAAGTGATTATTATACCCAGACATTTTGAGTTTATGTTCACTGACAGAACTATTCTCTTCCATCTTACAGCTATAGAACTTATTTGAGACTTCATATCTCTCAAACTGGGCATTTGCTTGAAATATTAACTTCAACTCCTGAAACACCTCATATGCTCCATGACGTTCACAACGTCGTTGAAGACCCGGTTCCAAGCCGTAAAGCATGGCACACTGAACTATCGAGTAGTCATCAGCTTTGCTCTGCCAGACGTTCTTAACATCGTCAGTTGCATCTGCAGCAGGTCTGGCACCCAGCGGTGCTTCCAGGACGTAATTCTTCTGTGCAGCAATGAGGATAATCCTCAGGTTACGGATCTAGTCCGTGTAATTGCTACCATCATCTTTCAACTTAGCTTTCTCAAGGAACGCATTAAAATTCAACGGAACAACAGCACGAGCCATCTATCTACAACAAACATAGACAAGCAAAATACTATCAGGTACTAAGTTCATGATAAATTTAAGTTCAATTAATCATATTACTTAAGAACTCCCACTTAGACAGATATCTCTCTAGTCATCTAAGTGATCACGTGACCCAAATTAACTAAACCATGTCCGATCATCACGTGAGATGGAGTAGTTTCAATGGTGAACATTACTATGTTGATCATATCTACTATATGATTCACGTTCGACCTTTCGGTCTCCGTGTTCCGAGGTCATATCTGTATATGCTAGGCTTGTCAAGTTTAACTTGAGTATTCTGCGTGTGCAACTGTTTTGCACCCGTTGTATTTGAACGTAGAGCCTATCACACCCGATCATCACGTGGTGTCTCAGCACGAAGAACTTTCGCAACAGTGCATACTCAGGGAGAACACTTCTTGATAATTAGTGAGAGATCATCTTAAAATGCTACCGTCAATCAAAGCAAGATAAGATGCATAAAGGATAAACATCACATGCAATCAATATAAGTGATATGATATGGCCATCATCATCTTGTGCTTGTGATCTCCATCTCCGAAGCACCATCGTGATCACCATCGTCACCGGCGCGACACCTTGATCTCCATCGTAGCATCGTTGTCGTCTCGCCAATCTTATGTTTCTACGACTATCGCTACCGCTTAGTAATAAAGTAAAGCATTACAGGGCGATTGCATTGCATACAATAAAGCGACAACCATATGGCTCCTGCCAGTTGCCGATAACTCGGTTACAAAACATGATCATCTCATACAATAAAATATAGCATCACGTCTTGACCATATCACATCACAACATGCCCTGCAAAAGCAAGTTAGACGTCCTCTACTTTGTGCTTGCAAGTTTTACGTGGCTGCTACGGGCTTAGCAAGAACCGTTCTTACCTACGCATCAAAACCACAACGATAGTTTGTCAAGTTGGTGTTGTTTTAACCTTCGCAAGGACCGGGCGTAGCCACACTCGGTTCAACTAAAGTTGGAGAAACTGACACCCGCTAGCCACCTCTGTGCAAAGCACGTCGGGAGAACCGGTCTCGTGTAAGCGTACAGGTAATGTCGGTCCGGGCCGCTTCATCCAACAATACCGCTGAACCAAAGTATGACATGCTGGTAAGCAGTATGACTTGTATCGCCCACAACTCACTTGTGTTGTACTCGTGCATATAACATCTACGCATAAAACCTGGCTCGGATGCCACTGTTGGGGAACGTAGTAATTTCAAAAAATTTCCTACGCACATGCAAGATCATTGTGATGCATAACAACGAGAGGGGAGAATGATGTCCACGTACCCTCGTAGACCGAAAGCGGAAGCGTTAGAACAACGCGGTTGATGTAGTCGTACGTCTTCACGGCCCGACCGATCAAGCACCGAAACTACGGCACCTCCGAGTTCTAGCATACGTTCAGCTCGATGACATTCCCCGGACTCCGATCCAGCAAAGTGTCGGGGAAGAGTTCCGTCAGCACGACGGCGTGGTGACGATCTTGATGTTCTATCGTCGCAGGGCTTCGTCTAAGCACCGCTACAATATTATCAAGGACTATGGTGGAGGGGGGCACCGCACACGGCTAAGAGATCTCAAGGATCAATTGTTGTGTCTCTATGGTGGAGAGGGCGACGTATGGTTTTTGTTTCGCTTGTGGAGCACACAGGTAACGGGAATCTAGTCTGCGACAAAGACGTGGACATTTCGTCTTCTCTCCAGCTTAACCACTACTCCCTCTGTAAAAGATCCTTTTGGGAGTATACTTTTTCCAGTCCGGTGACCAGGTTTGCAAAATTCGGACTGTCTTCTTCGATAGCAGAATGTACAGTTTTCGTTTTCCCCTCGGGGTGCAGAACGAAATACGTAGGGGCTGTTTGGTTTGTGACTAACTTTGGTAAAGATTACCACACCTAAGATTAAGCAAATTTGATCAACTTAGGTGAGTATTTGGTTCAAGCCACACTTTAGGCAAGCCACACTAGGGCCTCACATGGCATACACACAAAAAATGTAGCAAGATTCTCTTAGGCTTGCCAACTTGTGGCTCTCATTTTGATGAACTAACCTTAGGCAAACTTGACAAAAATATGTGACAAAGTGTGGCAATGCAAGGCCTAGAACCAAACATCCCCGTAGTAACAAGGAACAGGCACATGCCAAGTAGGGCTTAGACATAGCTACCGCATGGCGTGCAGCACCGAAGCCTCAGGCATGGCGATGGACTCCGTTTGGATGAGGCAAAATTTTCCCCTTAGTTTCAAAAAAAATACTCCCTCTGTTTTATAATGTAAGACATTTTTTGACACTACACTAATGTTAAAAAACATCTTACATTATGGTTCAGAGGGAGTAGTACTTAACAAGGATGACGAACATTTAGAAAAAAAAGAGATGGACCATACGAAGGCATCTGTAAATTCAGACGACCGTATATGGGAGCAAAGTGCGGCACATAACGTGGACCGTGGTGCCGTGTAGTACGGTTGGGCTCCAAATCCATCAGATTGCTGAGCCTGAGTCGATTGGTTCTTCGTCGCATCGTCGACATGCCGGTGTCCTTCTCTTCCGGCGTGCGGTATTGGCCGTCCATGAGTAACCGGTGGCCGGCAGTCTCACGTGTGGACGAAACTGAAACGGTCGTGCGTGCACACAGATTGTGGGAGGGAGAGTGCGACGTATGGTTTCTGATTCGCTCGTGGAGCACACAGGTAATGGGAATCTAGTGTGCGGCATAGATGTGGACATTTCGTCTTCTCTTCAGTTTAACCAGTACTCCCTCTGTAAAAGATCTTTTAGGGAGTACTTTTTACACAAGCTCGAGAAGGAGCATGCTGTGTTCACAGTTCACATGCAGATCCAGCCGGACGACCTGGTGCAGCTTGTGCACGGTGCACCATTCTGGCCACTAGGAAGAACTGGGGACTGATGAGCAACCGGCTAGTTAGTTGTTTGGTCCCCAGTTGCTGAGGTACATGACTGTCCGGAGCTCCTCCTCCTGCTCCTGCCTCGCCTTCCTCCTCCTCGCCGCCGCCCCGCCGGCAGAGGCCGCCGCCATGGTCTTGCCGTTCCCGGCGGCCGCGGTACCAGCGCGCTGCTGGACGCACGGGAGGGCGCGGTAGTTCCAGCGGCACCGCCCGGCGTGCCGCTCCTTGAGCGCCTCCACCGTGCCCGCGCCCACGCTCATCGCCGCCGCCCAGGACGAGGCCATCTGACCAACCGTAGGATTGCAGATATCGAGGTGCTCGAGTGAGTGCTTCGTTCGATGCTGTTGCCGTGTGTGTAGTAGTGTGCTCAGCTGCCTGCGAAATGGCGGTGTTCCTCACGGTAGTTTTATAGGAGACGCCGTTGTCGGCATGTGAACCGTACGTGCTGCCGGTGCCGGCCGTGGCTGCCTCGTACGTAAGGGCGCGCGCATGGTTTGTGGCCTCGTGGGCGGAAACCGGGTGCAGTGCCGGCGGCCTTGGCGCTTCAGGTTGTTGTCGGACGCCGACGTCGGGAGATGCGGCGCGCCGCTTGTGCCACAAGTTGCGTGCTGCTGCACTGTGCTACTACGTCAGATCAGATCAGGCTTCGTGGTGGCCCATGAATTGTCTTGTTTTTAGCACACGGGAAGATAAAGATCGCTCAATCACGAAAATCTGCCAAGGTAGAGTTTATTCGACTATTCGTGGCACGCAGCGTGCGGTAATCTTCTTCCCCCCTTAGGATATGCAAGTGATTATTATACTAATAACAATCCTCCTTTTTGCAACACGTAGGTTAAGTAGGATTTTTGGCCACATGCTCTGCTCTTGGGGAGACGCGGACGGGCAGGGAAAACCGGAGGCCGGTGGCCATGGTTTCAACGATACCAGCCGGCCACTGCAACTGGAAAGTGGACCGTGTTGTGTCTCACTCGGTCATCACTCTGATTACCAGTAAACACGTTTACTTAACTTATTAATGCAAATAGGAAGAGAGGGCCTAGACAGATGTGGGTGGCTAAAGGAGATATTGACAGGCAGGTTTCGTCTGATGTTTTCATTCGTGATACGAGGCAGAAAACAGCTTCCGTGTTTGATCGCATCTCTGAGACTCATGATGAAGCGGCGGACCCCGAACTCCGGGGCCGCCGGGAGCAATGAATCTGCTAGCCTGGAACTGTCGGGGCTTGGGTTGAACTCGACAGTGGGCGAACTTCGCGACCTAGTTAGGTGTCACAACCCAGCGGTGATTTTCTTATGTGAGACAAAGAAAAAAGCAAGAGCGATGGATAGGCTTAAATGGAGTTTGGGTTTCAAGAATGGTGTGGCCGTGGATTATGTGGGCAGGAGTGGGGGCCTGGCCCTCTGGTGGCGCGATGATATTCAAGTCACAGTTAAACCATGGTGCCAGTATTTTATTGATGTTGAGATTAGTTGTGATGGCAAAACCTCAAGAGTCACTAGATTCTATGGGGAGCCGAACACGGAGATGAGGAAGAAATCGTGGGATGCAATAAGATTTTTACGGAGGCAAAATGACCTTCCTTGGATTTGTTTGGGCGACTTCAATGAGGCATTTTTCCAAACAGACCAAGTTGGGGGCAACATAAGGAGTTTTACTCGTATGGAGGATTTTAGAGATTGCTTGGCCGACTGTGGCCTTGCGGATTTGGGCTTCTCCGGATATCCCTACACGTGGGATAATAAGAGGGATGGTTCTGAAAACATCCAAGTCCGCCTGGATAGAGCTACATGCAATGATGGTTTCTTGCAGATGTATCCGGAGACAGTGGTGGAACACATCATGACCGAGGAATCAGATCATCAGGCTATCCTAGTGAGAGCGCTGGAGACGGCTCCGCGCTCCTGTAGAGGGGGCGACAGACCATTCCGCTATGAGGAAGCGTGGACGAGACATGAGCAATATGAAAACATGATTGCTGAAGCGTGGGAAGCGGCGGGAAACGGGGGTCTGAGCCTGACGGCGGTGTGGGAGAAAATTGGTACGATGACCGGAAGCATGCAACGATGGGCTAGGGAGGTGTTTGGGTCTGTGCGACGCAAGATTGCTAAACTCAAGACACAACTTGCTGCTGCTAAGACTCGTGCACTTTCATCGGGCTGTCAAGGAGAGGTCCAAGACCTGGAGGAACAATTACGTGAGATGTTCGAGCGGGAGGAACTGCTATACAGACAACGGTCCGGGGTAGATTGGCTAATGGCCGGAGATCAGAACACAAAATACTTCCAGAACCGAGCTACTCACAGAAAGAGGAAGAACACGGTCAAGGCTTTGTTACGAGCAGATGGATCGTGGTGTACGACCGATGAAGATATGCGCGAGATGGCAGCAAGTTTTTATGAGACTTTGTTTACTTCTGAAGGGTCACGGGGAGCTGATGTCTTATTGCAGAATATTGCACAGGTGGTGACAAAGGACATGAACGCCAAGCTGATGAGGCCGATTTCTGACGACGAGATACAGGCAACCCTTTTCCAGATGGGTCCTACAAAATCACCAGGCCCGGATGGGCTGCCCGCCCTTTTCTACCAGCAACACTGGTCGTTGATTAGAAATGAAGTTTGCGCGGCGGTGCGATAATTTTTGAATGGTGCAGCTATCCCGGAAACGTTTAATGACACGGTTTTGGTTATGATCCCGAAGGTGAACTCACCGGAGTTACTTTCTCAGTTTAGGTCGATAAGTCTATGTAACGTGCTATACAAGATTGCAACTAAGGTTTTGGCTAATAGATTGAAAGTCATTCTCCCAATTCTCATCTCGGAGGAGCAAAGTGCTTTTGTTCCCGGTCGACTTATTACGGATAATGTCTTGGTTGCATATGAGTGTGTTCACGCCATTCGAACGAGAAGAAGGAAGAATGCTTATGTGCGATGAAGCTTGATATGATGAAGGCGTATGATAGAGTGGATGGGCTTTTTTGGAACAGACTCTAGCTCGGTTCGGTTTTGACCCTCTTTGGATAGCTATGATCATGATATGAATCACGTCCGCTAGGTTCTCAGTTAAGCTAAATGGAGGCTACTCGAGGGAGTTCACACCTTTTCGTGGACTTAGGCAAGGGGATCCTTTGTCACCGTACTTATTCCTTTTTTGTGTTGAAGGGTTCTCGGCCTTGTTGAGGAAAGCTCAGCAAGACAACTCTCTGAAGGGGGTGGCATTTGGGAGCACTGGCCCCCATGTAACGCATTTACTGTTTGCAGATGATAGCATTGTATTTTTGGAAGGAACAACGAAAAGCATGATGGTTCTTAAAAATATTTTGGTGCACTATGAGGAGGCCTCCGGACAGAAGGTGAACTTGCAGAAGTCTTCCATATTTTTTGGAAAGGGCTGCAATGATGGGGCTAAATCTGAGTTGAAGCAAGCAATTGGGATCGAAAATCTGAGGAGAGAGCCGGAGCAAAACAGCCGGCCGCCGGTGCTGGTTTTCCGGGTCCGGGATACCGGGTGCCGCACCTCTCGCTGTCGATGTCCCATTGCAGGTGGCTGCCTACCTCGTCTCGTCTTGTTTCCTTGCGGCTGGTTTTGTCCACTGGGGCCGGACCAAGGCGGCAGAGTTGAGATACGAGCGATGGACGATGAAGGTATCAAGCTTTACCGAGTAAAACTAGTACACCCTCTGTTTTTGAATATAAAATGTTTTGTTCGTTCAAAATTGCGTGCAAGGCCATATTTTCTGTATAAATATTACTTAGATCAGGGAAATAAGACCAACAAAATTTCTTATCACTTTCTTATTACTTTCAAAGTCTGTAGATTTTGTAACAAGAGGTTGGCATAATAATTACAAATTTTTTGGTGCATTTTGTGCATGTCTAAATCTCTGCCATGCTCTCATGTCAGTTTCAAGGCATTCTTATAAACTATGAGTGCCTATTTAGAAGCTGTCTCAGGAAATATTATCTATTTGTGCTAGTGATTTTTTATTTGATATAAATCAAGTAGTTATTAGACAATATTCGAACCATTTTCTCTCTTAAAAGATGTCCGATAAATGATCATTATTTTTTCAATCCTCGTGGCACATTCGCTACATCAACTTTAAGGAATATATCTCTTTTTTCACTAGCAAAATAAAATACTTTAAGGGACATATGAAATTTGTTTCAGAACGATAGAGCAATATTTGAAGACCCATGAACATTTTTTCAAACTATCAGAACAAATATTTTCTAAAAAAACACCAAAACAAAATCTAGTGAGCAAAAGTAACATGTTTTGTGAACTACCAAAAGAATTCTGGTGAAATATATGAACAAATAATGTGAGTGGCCTACATGAACATTTTTTAATGATTATTCAAATCATTTTGTTCAGATACACAAACGAATATTTTATGAATCAAAACAATTCTAACATGATATATTGAATTTTCAATTTTTTTATTTAACTGATGTTATTTTCTGAAAATCCGTTTATGTGTACAATAAATTCATTTTTTACAACTTTAGATATAATTTCATACTCATGCATGATAAAAAAATATATTTTACTAGTTATACAACACTGAAATAAATTTAGTTGATAAAACACTAATCGTCTGTTCAAAAGGTGTCCAAAGCTGCAGCGCCAAAATCCTTGCATGCTTCTTCATGTGTCCAAATATGTACTTCAGTGGTGCTGCACCTAGTATAGCATGAAGGAAATTCGAGATGTGGTGTGACTAACACACCCAAAAATGTGCTTTGTTAGACTTCGTCTTTTTTGGTATGAAAGGTTGTTTCGAAAAGAAAAATCAATATGCAACATAGCCTTAGCTAGCCATGCAGTTTTGAAACTTAGTTATTATTTGTTTGTTCTAAATTCTTTTACTTCTTAAATTATCATAATCACTTTACATATTTTTTCCATTTGATACAACATTACCAAATAATTCTGAATGAAGCAAATTTTTGGGTCCAAAAGTGGGATTACTACTTGTGCATCCAAAATCCTTAAACCCAGTTATTGCCATATGAGTCCAGTACACCTACCTATATGCGGTATTTCCATGCTGTTTTAAGCAAATTTGTATGTGTCATGTCTAATTCTCAAAATAATTTCCTTTTTGTGTGTTCGTACCGTTTATGATACGGTAGGGGGTGGCCGATATTTTTCCATGCTAGATGTGTAATTCTCAAGATGAGTGTTTATTCACTAGTCATTGCATGAGAGTACAACAAAGGTATTAGGGATGCCCAGTCCCGAAATGAAAAATGAATTTACTTTATGTTGTCAAAT